CTCTCAAGACTTTCTCTAATCTTCGATCCACAAATCGAATAACTTCAAAATCGCCTTGGAACTACTTTATTCTATCGGACACATCTCTCGTTTTCTGCTACGAAGCTCACCACGCTCGTTGCTAACAGAAGCTCACCTCGGTCATCTTCATTTGAGGTTCGGTCTTTATACTGTTAGGTTACGTCACAATTCTGAATGAGATCACTCTCCTCATTTACATACTTATCTCTAACAATAAATTATTCCTGTTTTCTGGCAGCCTATTTTCCTACGATACTCGCTAACCTTTTACATTATTCTTTTTGACACTCCTGAATGTGATTTGCACTGTCAGAAGAAGCTTGATCATTTCTTCTGAATTCGTACTCTTTTGCAGTGCGTACTAGCTCGTTTAATGAGTAAGAACGGCGATTCTCCAGATACTCACATAACGGTAGAGACATCTGGCCAACTACACACTGAATTATTTCCTCGTCACGAGCTAAAGGTCTCCACGTGCGGTATAGCTGTACCGTGGTCCATATAAACTGCTCGACACTATTGGTTCCGGTGTACTGTCGACTAAAAAGTTCTTTAGCGACAGCTACTTCGTCCGCTAAAGGAGCGTACAGATCCAAAAAAGATCGTTTAAATAACGGCCAACTGTTGCCGATTCGGTGGCGTCCGTCATTCTTCCACCACATCGCTGGGCTACCGCGAAGACAATTAGCGGCAGTATCCACCCATCTAGTGTTCGGTATTTGGTTCACCATAAAATGCTGTTCGAGGTCCTGCAAGAAATCGTTAGCAGTTAATGCTGACCTACCGTTAAATTGGATGGCTGGCGGCGGTGGTGCAGTCTGAAGCCAGACCATCGATGCATTAGAGGTAGGCACTTCCTGTCTCGGAGTAGAAGTTTCGGGCCGTACAGCACTTGTAACGTTCGGTGTTGTAGGCTCTACAGTTCCAGACGTGACACATGAAGTCAGATGAGTCACGGCATTCGTCAAACTGGACACTTGTTGCAACAGCACTGACAACTGCTGTTGTAACTGGTTATATTCGGCTCGGGTTACTGGTGCACTATCATCCATTTTTTTTTTT